TTTTTTTTTTTTTTTTTTTTTTTTTTTTTTAATGACGGCTCCATTAGATAGTGGGCCACACTAAAGCTAACTGCAATTATAACAGATTGTGTTGACACATTAGAGATGAGATGTTAGCACAATTTGGGTTTCTGTCACATTCTCACCTTTGGTTTCTGAAATGTTTAGCTGTGTCAACTTTTAAAAATTCCTATGAGTTCCAGACCTTAATTGTGACTATGTTTCAGTCATATCAAATTTTATATCTTGAAATCTTAAATTATGAAGCTCTAAAATATATCAAATCTATGCATCTAATTACTGATCCCACAAGTGGTCTTGCCACAGGAAACCTTTCCATGAAAACTAAATCCACAGAGGTCTCTGCTGCTACTATCAAAATGGGTTAATTACTTTTAGCATAAATTTTCAAGTGGGACTCAAAGTATGGGATGTTGCTATAGGTTGGTAGCTTTGTTTTAATCTTGCTTGACTGAAGACTTAAATAGTTTTGACAAGTCCTGGGCTGAGGATCAAATACTGATTTTATTCTGCTGTACCTCAAATGTTATGTATTTGGCAACATATACTAAAGAGAATTTTTTCCCCATACAATTGAAAACTATGATATTTTGGGGATAAGAATAATATATAGCAAGGAAATTAAAGAAATTTTAGAGACAAGTCAATAAAGGAACATAAAAATGGAATCTTAGTTTTAATTATTCTCCACCTCTATTTGAGGGACACTTCTAAATAGCAGCATTCCCATGTGGGGAGGAGTTAAAGAAACATCTGGCATCAGAATGCAAATCTCTGAGCAGTTTCAAGAGCTTTGAGTAGGTAGACAAGGTGTATTAGACTTACATATTTTCGTAAATTGTAACGTATTTTCTGTGAGTGAGGATCCAATTTTAAGAGAGGAAAAAATAAATAAATAAAGGAATTATAAGATTGTGGCTCACTCTAAGCAAAATATTGCATTGGCACATGTAGAAAGTAGTGGACCTTTAGTGGATAAAGTAGGAAAGGTAAAGAAATGTAGTATAGTTATACATCTTTAGTGAGAAAGATGACATAACATTTCTGATGAATAGAGCCCATAATGATTCTTTAATTTGTTATAAAATATATACAGGATTGTATACTTCCATACTGGAATTTATACCAGGTTGAATCATAGCTATTCCAGCTCCATCTTTCAAACAGTGCTGAGCTGGCCTGATACTGGATTTGCATGTGTTATTATTACATCATTGAAATCAGCAGACATTTTGTTTTGCTCCTTACATTTTCTTTATTCTTTTTCCATATCTAGTGTAAATCTTAAGGAATTTTTTTTTATTAAATAACAGAATGATCACAGTATAAAATGGAGTTATTTTCTAGCCAGGGTAAATGTGGGAATTGAAGTAATCCTTTAACTACTGGTGCATTTTGAGTGTTTAATTGTAGAGTCAAAACAAAATGAAAAGAATTTCTGCTCTGAAAGCTACAACAAAGGAAAGAAAAAAGACAAATGACGAAAAAAGCACATTGGAAAAAGAATACTACACGTCACAGTTATGAGAATGAAATGCCCTTTACCATTGTTAAGTAGTAGAGGTTTAATTTTGATAATCTGGTAAAGTCAGGGATAAAAGAACCTTGGAATCTAGGAACTTAGGTTTATTGCCTGGCAAAGACCAATTTTTGGATTTGGATTTCTCCCCATCCACTTTTGGATGGGGAGAGTTTTTGAACTGCCAATTCATAAACATTAGGATTCTTTGGCACACCCCTCCCACCGTGCCCTTAGAAAGCTGATGGCTTGAGGGTGGAATGAACTACAAATCCTTCAGCAGTGTTACTTCTGTGTCCATACATCTGAATTTTCAGATAGCTCTGGAATGCCTTTTGGCTGTCTCTCCTCTTCGTATGTTTGTATGTCTTTTTTTTTTTCATGCTAGCAATTATATTTTACTGCTATTCCCATATCCTATCATTCTTGTTTTTCAGATGAATGGGAAAGTGGTCCATAGAGGCTGAATGGTAACGGCTCTGGCTGAGAGGTCTCATCCAGACCTTAAGCCTGTGTCAAGTGGGATGAAATTTGCCATTGTTTGGAATTCTAAATACCAGATTATCAATAATTTCCAAGTACAAAGTAAATATTGTGTTTTCTTTTTTTTACATCTTGTCACTTGTATATGACAAATATTCATTATGTACTTACTGTAGACAGTCATGGGGATTTCTTTGAAGGTGCTACCACGAACAAACTGAAAATAAATACACTTGTATTTAGTAACATGAAATTAGTAGTTTTATTAACAAAATTATGGCACCACTTTAATTCTTACTAAAGTGAAAATAGTGAAGGTATCATTACATTTAATAGAAATGAAGTCTTCATATAAACCATTTTACAATCTCCTGCTATTGGGTCAGATGGCGTAAAAATTATTGAAGGTGTTACTCAAGAGTCTTAAAAATTATGGAATAGTTAATCCAAAGTTAAATGTTTATTAAATAATATTTCATATGTTTTCTGATACTTTGACTTTATAAGGATAAAGGGGGAAAATACTTTTTTGCCTTTAACTACTGTGATTAGTGATAATTTTTTTACAAGTACATACTTTCCCTTTCCCTTATATTCTGTAGCAAAGGCATTTGGTGATAGAAAGATTATAGTATTTTTTATCTGCATTTCTTTTCTTTCCAACTGGACTGTATTTTTTAAATAAAGGGACATCTCTGATTCAGCTTAACATTTCCCATTATAGTTAATACAGTGCTTGAGCCCAAGTAGGTTTCAGAGATATTTGTAGAATAAAACCATAAAGAAATTATCTCATTTACTCACGGGTGAGCCAGTGGCACATAATCAACAAAGAGCGGTCCAAGTCCAGGGTACATCTAAGCTACTCATGTATACATTTCTAGTCTTTTATGTAAAACCTGCAATATCTGTTTAGGAACAAATCCAATAATGTTCTGTACCTTAATCTGGATGTATTTGATCAGTTTATTAAGGATTTCCAGTAGCTGATCATTTCCAACAGGTGTGTCTATGAAGAGGAATATTAAATTAATATTGATAAGAGCATTTGAAATACAAATATACGCTTCTATTGAAAAAGATATAGCCCACTAGTGAGTTCAGTAATTACCAACCTGCTGGGTAGAGGAGTTTATCTACAACATGAATGACACCATTCGTTGTCATGATGTCAGATTCTTTTGATTTCACTTCATTCACCAGAAGTGTATCATTTACCTATCAAAACAGGGGATAACATCAGTGAGAAATTTAATGAAAAATTAACACGAAGATAATTGAACAATAAGTGAATGTTATCATAAATTCATTCTAGAGAACTCACTCCTTTCAGATAGATTTTGCTTCCTTGTGTGGTCTTCAGAATGTTAGTAACACCAGGTTCGAATCCCTTTCCAATGAAAACTCCTGGTGTCAGGTGATAAAGGATGATGTTTTGAAGGGCATTTTTGTCTCCTGGAGGGAAAAATATATATTTATTTATAACGTGTCCTATTTTTCGATAATTTGATACTAGAAAAACTAAGGATAAAAATATTTCTTTGTCTTTAGTTTTTCCACACTGTGATTCCTCAGCATTTCATTGTTCCTTCAAGTTGCTATCAACGAATGCCATGTCAAAACAGTCACTTCAGTCTGTTCAATCAAAATATTAGCCAACTTACTGGGAGGAAAAAAATCAAATTATTTTTGGAATTGTAATTGTTTCTTTCCTTGTCACCTAGTTGTGTGGACTCGAATAGAAACAGCATAAGTGAACATCTAGGTCAACAACATGACGGCAAGCAACTGCTAATGTAATGTAATTACTAATGTAATTAAGAACATTAATGAGTGACTTTCCGTATATTCCATGTGGAATTAAAGGAAACTAATGCTAGGCATGAATATTAAAGTGGGGACATTTTTGAGGCTGACTTCTGTGCAGGAATGCTTGAGGAAGAAATGAGATCCTGAACACAAAGGACAAATATCTGGTATCCACTTTTACTCACGAATCAGAATTTCTTTTTCTTCATTTGTCATTCCCTTAAAGGCATCATTGGTTGGGACAAATAAGGTCCAATCTCCAGGTTGTGTCAGGAGCTCTTTCAGGTCTGCGGCTTCAAGTAGGCTGAGGAAAATGCTAAGCAGGAAAGATATGTATATTTATTCTGTTAGATTTAGATTTAGGTATGCTCACCCACAATGCATGGAATAAAATAGCATCCATATATTCTGGAAAGCATGAGAAAGTGTTCATACATTTTCATAGTTCAGATGCAGTTCACCTGTTAAGAA